CTCTGTCTGTCTCTGTCTCTGTCTCTCTCTCTCCAGCTCTGTTTCCACCTCCCTCCCCTTCCCCCTCCATGAGAACCACAGGAGAATTTCCGGGCTTTGGTCCTGGGGAAGGGGCGCAGCAGCTTTATTTGCGGAGCAGGGAGCGGGATCCGGGGCTGCGGCTGTGGGGCTAGGCGAGCGGGGCTTGGAGGAGGCCCTCTGAGGGCAGCAGGGAGTCCATGAGCCGGTGGAGCCAGGCCGTGTAGCGGGAGACCCGGGTGTACACCCCGAAGTGACCAGCGGCCGCACAGCCCTCACCCCAGCTGACAAGGCCCGTCAGGTACCACGTGCCCCGGAAGTGGGTGGCGTGCGGGCCCCCGCTGTCCCCTTTGCAGGCGTCCTTGCTGCCGTCCAGGTAGCCGGCGCAGAACATGTTGTCCGTGAGGGCAGGCGACCCCGGCCTCAGGCGCGACTGCTCCAGGCAGTCCTGGGTCAGGAGCCGGGGCACCTGGATGGCCATGAGCACGCGTGCCGTGGCCCCGCGGTCCAGGAGCTGGCCCCAGCCGCTGACGGCCGAGAAGCGGACGAAGGCCAGCGTCCGCTCGGAGAAGGTCTTCTCGGGCAGGCAGAGGGGCACCACGTGGTCGCTGAGGGCCACAGGCCGCTCCAGGCGGAGCAGGGCCAGGTCGTGGTCTGTCTTGCCCGGTACGTACGTGTCGGGGACGATGATTTGAGCGATCTTCCGCTCCTGCTCCTCGCCCTCACGCTGGCCAAGGTCGTGCTCGCCTGCGGGGAGACCGCCCGCTTGGGCCCCTTCTTTGGGGTGGGAGAGCCCTGCGTCCCACCCCAGGCTGCTAGTGGGTCAGCAAGGGTGTGAGTCAGGGGTGGGGAGTAGTGGAATCTGGAACCTGGGGGGCATGTGAGGGGGTGTCGGCCAGGCAGCTGAGGGGGGAGGGGGGGCCTGGTCCCCTGCTTCTTCCAGACCTGCCTGGCCCCCCTGGGGTCCTTGTCATCCCGTAAACCCACCAGCCAGAGGCCCAGGCAGTGCAGCCCTGGCTGGGGCACCCCCGGGGCTCTGGGCCCAAGCGAGACAGGAACAGCAGTCACCCATGACTTGGTTTGCAGGGAGAGAGCTGAGGGCAGCGGCTGTAGCGGGGCCCTGTGGGTGCTGGGATTGCTCCTGGTGGCGGAAGTTGGTGGTTCGAAGCCCTGAGTAATTGTCATTCAAGAACCGTCTCCTGTCAGAAAGAGGTAACCCCAAAACCTACCGAGCACCACTGTCAAGTTCCTCCAGTTCCGGATCCGGTCGAAGCAGTGGGCGGCAGAGACCACCCAGGTGACATCGAGCAGGGCTCCCCCGCACAGCAGTGCCCCGTTCAGCTTCAGCAGGGCCTGGCGGGGCACCGCGGACGGTGGAAGGTCACGTTACCACCACCACTTCCTCGGGGACTCCCCTTTCCCGTGCACCCTCCAGGGGTGGGGGCTCTGTCCAGCTAAGGGAGCGGAAGGCTGGTGGACGATGGAAATGCTGGGCTGGACATGCGGTCACCCGGGCTTGGATGGCCAGGCGCAGCTGGAGCCTCACCTGCCAGGGACACTCCCCTTTGGGGCAGACCTTGCCCCCCACAATTCTTCCTTGGGGGTTGCTGTTGTTTCTTTTCTCCAGAACAGGTATTTTCCCACATGGATATTCAACTGTGTGAAACAAAAGTCAGCAAGACGGCGTGGGTGGCGACTGGCCCCAGAGGGGGCTGTGTCGCTGCTCCTGCCGCGGCCGTGGGCAGGCCCTGGGGTGCTGCCTGGCGAGCAGCAGCAGAGGGGCTGGTTTGGCAGGAACAGAGGTCCCCTTCCTGAAACTGGGTCCTGCTCCTCCTTCTGGGGAGACGTGCCACCTCTGTGTCACTAAGTGTGTAAGGGATGTTGTGTGAGGCGACCGGCATTCAGACCATCGTGCTGCTCTCTGACCCGCTGTTAGTTTCCCTCCTGCTCCAAGAAAGCCCCTGGGCCGGAAAAGAAAGCATTTCGGGGCAGCAACTGAATTTCAGGCCTTTAGACAAGGCTGGGTACCCCACCTCTGGGGAGACACAGAGCTGAGGGGACACAGAGCTGGGGGGACACAGAGCTGGGGGCCCCAGCCTCCGGGCTGCAGCCCTTTTCATTTGAGGTTGGTTTGGAGGAATTTTCCATTTTCATAAAAGCACTTGCCTTTGACAAGATGTGGAATCCAGACTCGTGCTGTGGTCAGCAGACACTGGGTATGGTGATCTAGCGCCTGGCGTGGGAGTGGAGGTGGGCTGGCAGAGAGCTGCCCGGACGGGCAGGGGCCCGGCGCACCCCGGAGGCCGCTCCCTGGGCTCTGCCCTGCGCACTGCTGCCCTCCCTGCTCTCGGGGTTGGGGTGGGGCAGCCGCCTCCACCTGGGCCTCTCTCCCCACCTCCCAGAGCACACGGTGCCGGCGCCTGGGGATGCTCAGTGATGCCATGTCTCCCTCCCCATCTGGCCAATGAGGGGACGTGTGGCAGGGCAGGACGATCAGAAATGGAAGTGCACACACCGCCCTAGGGCCTGGTTCCCGAGGACACGTTACCTGTGGGCACGCAGGACACCCCGTCCTCCTGGAGTGCGTAGCCCTTGTGGCACCAGCAGGAACGCCCAGCCTCTGCGTGGTCAGTGCAGTACTGCTCGCAGCCCCCGTTGTCATTTGTGCAGATCAGCTGGCTCTTCTGGTCTGAGGATGGAGGGGACAGCTGAGGGGGCCTCCGCCAGTCAGGGCAAGCCAGCCTGGTGGCCACCCTTCCCTGGGTGGGGGCAGTGTCCTGTACAAAGGTGGCACTGAGCTGCCAGCTCCAGAGATGGCCTGGCACTGCCTGCTCTGTGGATTGACCCAGAATGTCCAGACCTGGGGTTTGGGGCTCCCACACCTGCACAGCTTGCTGGCTGAACTTGGTGGAACTGTCACATTTGGCAGGTGGACCGCATATATGGTTTGTAACAGCACGTGGGGAGGTGGAGCTCCCCAACTGCCTGGGCCATGGGATGTGTGGACACCACAGAGGTGTAAGGACTCACCTGGGCTCCAGGGGCATCAGAGTCCCCAGTGCTGGGGGCCCCGAGGGGGTGGGCGGTCAGGTGAGAGAACTAGCACCTTGGACCCCAGGCCCCAGACTCTTAGGGTGGAGGGCCCTTCTGGGTCACCTAGACCACCGGACCTGGCCAAGCCCCGCCCTACCCTGTGCTGACCAGCCGGTGCTGTCAGCCCCCAGGCCCTGTGAAGCCCCAGAGCCCTCACCTGTCTCACAGTTCCGGCCCTCGAAACCCTCGGGACAGAAGCAGACGTAGGACTGAAGCTGGTCCTCGCAGGAGCCCCCGTTCCGGCAGGGACCCGAGGCACACTGGTCCCCGTCTGTGCGGTGGGTCAGGGTCAGTGTGATGGGGGCGGGCTGGCGGGCAGGTGCAGATGGTGCTCCCCTACTCACCGTTGTATGAGATCCAGAACTGCTCCTAGGGGTGGAGAGGCCGCGTGAGACTCGGCCTCCGTGGAGGGAGCCGGCGGCTGGGCTGATGGGGGCTGGGGCCTGGCCCCTGTGCTGGGCTCTGGCAGCCAGACTTCTCTGGAGATGAGATGGGTCCCTCTGGGGAAGCATGTTCCCCCTCCCCCATCACTAAGGCCACCAGAGGTCACACATCTCCTCTCCCAAGTCGGAATACCCAGGTTCCAGCCCCAAGTCCGCCCCCGGGCTGTGAGCTTGGACAAGACACTCCTGCCCCTAGAGCCTCCCCTTCCTCCTCGGATGTCGGCGGCTGTCCAGACGCCGCGGACCCCAGAGAGGTCGAGAAGGAAAGCAGGGGCACTCTGGCCTGCAATAAAAGTGACTCCTGAGGAACGTCTTGGTCAGGTGAACTAAAACTCGCAGGACTGTGAGAATATAGCGAGGTGAGAACCGATGAAAAGGTTTAGAAAAGCCAAGTGAGACACAGCTGAGGGGTGACACCCTCCGTGTTCCTGGGAAGGGTCCTGTCAGCCTCCATCTCCAAAAGCCCTGCTTCCTGCGAGCGTGACAAGTGTGTCCTATGTCAGGTGTGTGTCCTGCAAGTGTGATGTGAGACGTGGTCTTGTCCCACTACCACCTGCCCCCATCCCTGGGGACAGTTCAGAGGATGTGTAAATACGCATCTTTCTGAAAGTGGAGGGAGATGGCCCACCCATGTGGCCCAAGTGCAGGGTAGGAAGCAGTGGTTCCCCAGGTGCTTCCCAACTCAAGTGTCCTGAAGAGGCGCCCACAGTGGGCGCAGCAGTGAGAGGCCTGGCCAGTGTCTCCAGTGCAGCCCCTCTGCGAGGCACGGACGGCTGGGGGAACTTCCTTGGGGACCCATCAGACTATATTTCTGATGCAGAAATGAGGATGTGTGCGTGCTGGAGCTGCCTGTGTGTGGAGCGTGCACACGGACACAAGCCCCTGCAGACTCACACTGACCACATACCCTACCACGCAGAGGGCGCCCTGTGGGGCAGGCTCACCGTCCTCTCCAGGTTTTTGAAGATCTCCCTGGCTTCCTCGAAGGAGCACAGCTCCTCCCTGCACTCTCTCTCCAGGGAGCCCGGCCACAGCTCCTCCAGGAGCGAGTTGGCACGCCTCTGTCTGTGCAGGATGCTGTGGGCTTGCTCCTGGGTGATGAAGACTGAGAAACGGGCCCCATAAGACGTTGGCCACCCGCACGCACCCTGTCCTGCCCAGTGTTAATGGGAGTCACAGGGTTCCTGTCTGAGAGCCTGGCTGGACTCGAAATAGGAGAGCTTTCTCAGGGCTGCCAGTAGGCAACGCTGCAGAAGCTTCGTGTGCGAGGATCAGGCAATATATGAAGTTTTGACCTGGTCATGTCACTTGCAGGAATTTACCCTAAGGAGCCACTCCAAGGCACACACAAGGGCCCAGCTGCAAGGAGAGCTGTAGGAGATACTAGTCTGGAGCACGCTGATGCCACGCTGTCACAGAGGGTGATGCTTAGGAAGATGTGATATTGATGAAAAAAGGTGACCAAACAGGAAGGACCAGGGGCAGCCCTGGCTTTCTCGAGCAGCAAACCAGGATGGGTGACCCTGTCACTCTTAACTCCCGACTAGTGCTTGGCTGTAGGATTTGGAGGACAACATGAACCGGATTTTAGGGCCCTTGGTTTCCACCCCGGCTGCCACTCGGCCCTTGGGAATCACGATGAGGACACTTAGGGAGCTCTCCCTGAGTCCCCAGTCAGGCCTCCCAGCGCCCACAAGGGGCGCAGTCACAGCCCTGGTGGCAGAGCCGAGCAGCCCAGCGTCCCCACACTGTCCCTGGCGCCAGCTGACCAAGAGGCTGAGAGACCAGAGCGAGAGGGAGGCACCTCTGAGCCCCAGGTTCTGTGTGCTGGTCCAGCTGCCTGGGTGGGGCCCCACGGTGGCTGGAAAAGCGCCCCCCGCCCCAGGCTCCCCGAAGTCTGGAAAACAGTCCCACCGAAGCCTTTACTCTGAGTGCCTGGGCACTGTCTACTTTTTGGAAAGAAAGATCACAGCTGAGCGGCCGGCAAACTCTCCAGGTGACCAGATGTGACAGCTGTGTGGGCCAGGTTGGGGGGACCTGGCTGCCTGCCTCTGGGTTGGGAAGCCTCTTCCACCTACCTGCCGCCAGAGACCCCTGCAGGCTGAGCAGAAGGCCGAAGAGGGCCAGCCCCCGGTGCTGGGAGGCCATGGTGAGGCCCTTGGTGTCGGCTGGGCTGCTGACACGGGGCGGGAGCGGGGCAAAGTTCTCAGAGCTGAGGGGGTGGGGGAGGAGGCCTCACCTCCCAACACGCGGTGTGGGATCCCCGCACCAGGTGCGGAGCTGGATGGGGGTTGGGGACAGAAGGACGGATGGGGCTGCATCTGGCACGTGCACTCAGATGCAGCCTCAGGCTTAGGAATGCAGGTTAGGAGACAGGATTAAACAGATGAAAAGCCAGACCCCACAGCGATGATACCAGGGGCCGGGGAGCAGGTTGGGTGTGAGTGTAAGTATCCTGGAGAGAGCCACAAGGGAGATGTATTCGGGCCCTTCCCGGCCAGAGGCCTGGAGCACCAAGGGGAGGGGCGTGTGCCCCCACCCAGGCTCTGTCTCAGTCCCCGGTCACCCAGGTCTTGTTCCCCATGCCCTCCGGGCCCAGGCCACTGTCCTGGGCTGTTGGCCATGAAAAGGTTTCTCTGGATGCTGGACTTTCAGCTGAAACTGGGACATCCTGGGCATACTGGGACAGTTGGTTACCATGCAAGGCTCATGGGGGCAGCCACCCTGGGGAAGTAACTTCTTTTCTGTGAATAGTGGAGGCCGAGGACAGCAGCTCTGCATGTTTCTCTTTGGAGGTGGGTGACGAGGCCCACCTGCTGCCGGCGGCTCCTGGCTACTCCCTAAATGGAAGAGTTAGTCCTTAGAGGACGTGTTTTATTGCTCACCTCTGGAATTTCTAATTGTTACTATCAACAGTTGCTTCAGTGTTTAGGAATTTAATTATACAGGAGTTTATTCATGTGGGAGAGGGGGAGGGGAGGAGGGACTGTCACAGCCTTCATGGTGACTCCTGGGCAGTGGGTACAGTGGCTCTGGAGTCAGCCAACTTGGTGGGTGGTGGGAGTCCTGGCTCCGTTTTCTCCCGGCTTGGGGAGGTGGGGGCCATTCCTTTGAGCCTCACTTTCCTAACGGGGCAGCAGGGCGGGCGGCTCCTGCTGAGAGCCTGGTGGCCCGTGGTGTCCCATGAGGTCCAGCAGAACTGCCCTGGTTGCTGGGTGCGGCCAGGCCCAGGGGTTCCTCCCACCCAGGGCCCGCCTGCCTTCTCAGACTGTGCTTTGTGCCTTCACTTTTCCACTCTTAGTTGGATAGACATTATAAATCGGTATTGAGTAAAAATTGACTTTTCCCTGCATCTGTGGGGCTAGTCTTTCCCTCTCTGTTTAGTTTGTTACTATGGCAAATTCTAGCAATAATTTCCTGATATCACACCATCCTTGAATTCCTGGGACAAACTTCCTTGGTTAGAACATATTACTTCTGTTTACAACATACAGTTGGATTTTATTTGATTATACTTCATTTGTAATTGTTGCATTTATGTTCATAACTTTATTTCTTCTTGTATCCTTTTTGTCAGGTTCAGGTAACTGTTAAACTTACTTAACAGAACTTACTGAGCTGCTTTTCTTCATTTTATAGTCTCTGAAATAGTTTGTATAAATATTTTGTACATTTACCTTAAAAGTATGGCTAAAACTATAAAGCCATCTCAGTCTGGCACCTGTTTGGGGGTAAATTTTCTTCCCCTGCAACTCAATTTCTTCATTACTCATCAACCCAAGTATTTAATTTTTTTTAGAAATTGTTAATTTTAACAACTTGGTTCTTGAAAAAAATTTCCTGTTTTGTCTGTTCTCAAATGTATTGGCAGAAAGCGGTTCATGGTGGTTTCCTTGTTTTAAAACCTCTATTTGTTGTGGAGTTTCTCAGCTTTTCCATAAATTGCTGTATTTTATTAGAATCTTCAAGGAATAAGATTTTTTGTTGTTGATTTGACTTTATTATTTTCTTCTATTATCCTAATTTTTTCTTCATACTTTCTTTGGATTTTAGCTTCTTTAGACAGCTGACATTTCTGTCATCTAAAAATTGAACTCTGTGCTTTTACAGCTGAAGGCCAGCAGCAAGAGCCGCCGACATTTATTCAGACTCCATTGATACAGTGAAGAACGGTGATTTTAAAATTTCATTTACATCAGCAGGTGAAAAAAAAAAGGAACAGTGACTGAAAATACGAGGTTTTAAAGTGCCTTTATGAGGAAGAGACCACAAAAATGGGGGTGAATCCAGGCTGAGACGTCGGGAACGGTGTCTGAACCACCAATATATTAAGTTATGTGACACGTCGTTTCTCAGATAACTTACACGTGGGAGGAAAGCTGCTGAGCGTGCTGGCTACTTCCTGCAACTCAGAGAGGGCTGGCCCTGCACGCAGACGCGGCTGGGGCTGGGGCGGGGGCTGTAAAGTGACACATTGCCAGCAGCACGGAGGCTATAAATACCCCCCTTACAGCGGGGACATATGTACAGACTTCGATGTATATACACACATATAAAACCCTGCCCCGGCCAGCACAGAAAGAAGGGCCTCCAAAGAACAGAATTCGTTTCTGAAACACAAAAACAGTAAGACAGTTTCTTTCCAGTTTGCCTCGATTTGAATAAAATAAACTGCTCCTGTGCTGGGCGGTTCTCTACAGCACAGGAGGGCAGTTCTGAGACGTGGGGCGGCGGGGAGCCAGGGGAGCGGGGGCTCCGGAGCTCAGACGCTCCCTGGGCTGGGTGACACCTGCAAAAGCTGCATCTTTACATTTTTTTAAAAACAATAAAAACAGCCTAATTCAGTGAAGCGCGTTAAAAAATCGAGTCCCCCATTTTTTTCTGTAGAAAAGGTGGTTAGTGTTTTAAATTACAGTTTAAATTCTCTTTTGAGAGCGAATTGCAGGTGACGGTGAAGGAGCCCCTGGTGTCTGCTTGTGTCTGCAGGACCGCTTCCTGATCCCGTGGCGGGAGGCCCTGCATCCACCTGTGACCCGGTGGGCCTCGCGGAGAGCCGCCAGTGTCCAAGACTGCGCACGTCGCTCAGCGCAGTGTAAACCCCAGTAACAAAACATAGTTTTGTATCAAATACAGTATCAAATTGTCACTTCATGTAAACACAGTGATTCTTGGTAAAGATTAGAGGCCAAAGTAAATTAATGGCCCTAGAATTAATCCCTGCTTAAAAAAACTTGAGAAAGACACACTAGCCCCCGCCCCCAAGCTGTCGGGTCAGCGAGTCGGTCACTCCTTTTGGAAGCAGTTCTGCAGAACGCGCGTTCCTGCACACAGCAC